TATTGATTTCATAGAGGAAGGGAGAGGGAGAGAGAGATAGAAATATCAATGATGAGAGAGAGTCATTAATCAGCTGCCTCCTGCACGCCTCACACTGGGGATCGAGCCCTCGACCTGGGCATGTGCTCTGACCAGGATTCAAACTGTGACCTCCTGGTTCATAGGTCAACACTCAACCACTGAGTCATGCTGGCTGGGTGAGTTTTATAGTTTCAACCTTTATATTAGGTCTATGATCCATTTTGAGTTACTTTTTGTGTATGGTGTGAGGTAGTGGTCCAAATTCATTCCTTTGTGTATGGATGTACAGTTGTCCCAGCACTATTTGTTGAATAGATCATTCTTCCCCATTGAACGGTCTTGGCACCTTTGTGGAAAATCAATTGGCCATAAATGTGATGGCTTATTTCATTATGTGTTCATAAATGTATAATTTATTTCTGAACTCAGTTCTGTCCCATTAATGTTTATCATTATGCCTTGATTACTGCAGCTTTGTATTACGTTTTAAAATTGGGAAGTGTGAGTCCTGCAATTTTTTTTTCAAGGTTGTTTTGGCTCATCTGGGTCCCTTAACTTTCTGTCTAAATTTTAGGATCAGCTTGTCAATATCTGCAAAAAAGGGCAGCTAGGATTTTGGTAGGGATTGTGTTGAATCTGTAGATCAATTTGGAGACTATTGCAGCTTGACTGTAGTCTTCTGATTCAAGAAGATGGCATGTCTTTCTGCTTAGTTAGGTCTTTTCTTTCACCATTGTTTGTGTAGTTTTCAGTGTAGAAGTGTTATACTTTTGTTAAATATATCTCTAAGTATTTTGTTCTCTTTGATGCTATTGTAAGTTGAATTGTTTTCTTAATTTTATATTTTGATTGGAAATAAAATTTTTGTGTGCACATTGGGGCACATGGTTTTTAATAATAGAAAAGGTAGTCATACACATGCTTGTTTACTAATTTTAGGTACTTTGTAAATGCTGTAGATTTCATTTTCTGTGTTTGCAGCATTTGCTTATTGGTAATTACTTCATTTTCTGTTTGGTTGGGTTTGTTTTCTGGTCACAGTTATTAATGTAGCAGTTCTGCAGGTCAGGTACTTTGAAGCTCTTAATCTTCTAGAGCAGTGGTTCTCAACCTTCCTAATGCCTCGACCCTTTAATACAGTTCCTCATGTTGTGACCCCCCAACCATAAAATTATTTTCGTTGCTACTTCATAACTGTAATTTTGCTACTGTTACGAATCATAATGTAAATACCTGATATGCAGGATGTATTTTCATTGTTACAAATTGAACATAATTAAAGCATAGTGATTAATCACAAAAACAATATGTAATTACATATGTGTTTTCCAATGGTCTTAGGCGACCCCTGTGAAAGGGTCGTTCAAGCCCCCAAAGAGGTCGCAACCCACAGGTTGAGAACCGCTGTTCTAGAGAAATCTGAAACTGTTCGATTAGTCAGACTGGTTGGCTATAGATTGCTTTGTTAGGATAAAGCAGTTTACCAGATTTGAATGTGACCCTTTAACTGAATGGAACAGCTGGGCAGTTGGGAGGAATTGATTGCTAATAGAAATATCTTTCTGGAACTTTGCCTGGTTGCAGAAGGAGCAGTGGTGCATTACAGTGCATCTGATGAGATCTAACAATATGTGCATATCTGGTATCAAAGCTCAAAATATTTCAGTGGCAACCACAAGGAAAGCCATTTGCTCATTCAGAGTGCTTGAGGGTTCTCTTTGAAGTGGTATTTCTCTTTGAGCAGATGCTCCTTTTTTTTTTAATGAAAAGTTTGAAGTTTTGAGTAACATTGCTCTAAAAGTCACTCTTATCTTAGTAAAGTAACATTCAAGTTCTGTTGGGCTGTGTTGCCTTTGGTTTACCAAAGGGATTTTTTTCTCCCCATCACAGCTTTGGAAACATGATGAGCAAAGAGAAGCGAGATGCTGTCAGTAAAGAGGACCTCGCCAGAGCAACTTTGATCACCATCACCAACAACATTGGCTCGATAGCAAGAATGTGTGCCCTTAATGAAGTAAGGGGACATGAATTTCTGTAGTTGCTCTGACAACATCCTAAGTGGGCCCCACCATGTATACAACATCTGTTTTGCCCAAGTGGGTCTAATTGTAGTCATATGTAGTGGAGTTAGTTTCATTGGAGAAGTTAAAACTCTTCACATGTAGATTAATCTTAATTGACTCCCTCTCCCCCCCCCCCTTACTGAAAATAAACACTGCTACTATCTAGAAGGCAGGAAGGTAGCCAGTATGCCAGATGGTGGGGCGACTACTATTGGGTGGTGATGATGGCTAGTGATGCTGAATCTAGTCTCCGTGCTCATTGTGGAGCTCTAGAATTCTGGAAGGAATCCAGAGGAAGTCATTGAAGCTGGGAGAAGATGGAGCAGGCCAAGCACTGCCCACCCTGCTCCCCCTCCACCGCAGCAGAGCTGTCTTTGTGCTTTCAGCTTCTTTACAGTGCTGCCTTGTAGCATTCAGGTCAAGCAGCATTGTACAGGGCTATGAAAGAACCAAGAATGGCCTTCCCTTGGGGATCCAGTTGGTGCAGTTTTATAGCTCGTCCCTATTTATATATTTTTGTTTAAAATTATTCTTTTGAACAGATAAGATAGACATGTGGCTTTAAAAAGGAAATCTTAAAAGGTACAAAAGAATTGTTTCATTTTAAATTAAAAGTCTGTATCAGCAAGTAATTAAAAAAAATTCTTCATTTGACTGTGTTGACACTATTTTCTTTATTGCATGTTCCCTTTCCTGTGCTTATGTATTTAAGATTTTAGTTGGTGTACATTTTCTATTTTTTACATAAGAATAAATTTCATGGCTGTATGATTTGATTCCTTTTTATATAAGTCATTGGCATTTGGTTGCTTGCCAATGACAGCTCTGTGGTAAAGCATTTTAAACGTGAAACTTTTCCTTGGTGAATTTTATTCTTGATAAGGGACTTAATCAGGAGTGAGGTTTTTCATCTAAAGACTATGACCATGTTATGAATCTTGATAAGTATTTCAAGATGTTTTATTTGCACTAGGGCTATACCAATTTAGATCATTTTCGGCAATAAATAAATGGGTCAGTTTTACCACAACTTGACTAATACTGGGGGTAGAATTTCAGTTAGTTGTTTTGCTAATTTATAGGTCTAAATTTTTTACTTTATTTTTATCACTAGTGAGGTTGAACTTCTTTTCCGTTATATTTATTGTATAATTTTGCCTATTTGTGTCATTTTCCTTCTTTGAATTGGGTCTTTTTCTTTTACTTATCTATGTAAAACCTTAATAGTAGTTATTGTTTGTCATATTTAATACACGTTTTTCCTATCTATTTTCTCCTGTGATATTTTCTGTCATGCTTTCAAATGGGTCCAGAGTTGTGTGGGCATCAAATTAAGTAGTCCTGGATCAATTGGATTAAATATAAATACTTCTTTAAAATCAGAAACTATATGCACAAATTGCTTCTAAAAACTATATGCACATGGTCTCTGTTTGGAGTAGATTTTATGAGAGAACTGAAATTAAGATGAAAACTAATTGCCTTCTTTTGATGTGCTCAGAATATTAACCAGGTGGTATTTGTTGGAAATTTCTTGAGAATTAATACGATCGCCATGCGGCTTTTGGCATATGCTTTGGATTACTGGTCCAAGGGACAGTTGAAAGCACTTTTTTCGGAACATGAGGTAAGCAGACTTATTTCCTGCAATATGTTACAGGGCATGCAGTTCACATTGTGTTGGAATTTGAAGTAGAGGTGAAATAGTACTTACATATTTTTGTAATTATATGATATTGGGTTTAACTTTGATTGGAATGTGTAAAAGCTCTTTCTTACCCAATTCAATGCAAGGTAGAGTTTTGGTTAATCTCATTGTGAGCTTCAGCAATATTAAAGAAGTCTTCAAAAAAAACAACAGCCGAAACCGGTTTGGCTCAGTGGATAGAGCGTCGGCCTGCGGACTCAGGGGTCCCAGGTTCGATTCCGGTCAAGGGCATGTGCCTGGGTTGCGGGCGCATCCCCAGTGGGGAGTGTGCAGGGGGCAGCTGGTCGATGTTTCTCTCTCATCGATGTTTCTAACTATCTCTCTCCTTTCCTCTCTGTAAAAACTCAATAAAATATATATAAAAAAAAACAACAACATATATTATTGATTTCAGAAACAAAGGGAGAGAGAGAGAGATAGAAACATCAATGATGAGAGAATCATTGGTCGGCTGCCTCCTGCATGCCCCCCACCGGGGATCGAGCTGGCAAACCGGGTATGTCCCTTGACTGGAATTGAATGTGGGACCCTTCGGTCTGCAGGCTGATGCTCTATCCACTGAGCCAAACCAGCTAGGGCAAGAAAGAAGTCTTAACATTCAGCCATATTTCTGAGCCATCATATTTTTCCCATTGTACTTTATAAATGCACTTACTCTGGGTTCTGCTTTTTTTCATTTTTTGATGCCAGTTTTTATGTATTGATATTTTCACATGCCATTTATTTAAGATGTCTGTTCTGAAAAATAGATCAGTAAAAAACATTCCAGGACTAGAACCACAATATCATAAAAACTTAATATGTAGACAGGCTAGAAATGACACAATAGAAAAGAATCATTGAGTTGCTCAACCTGATGTCTTCTTTTGGAAAATGCCTTTTTGTTTCTTCAGTTTTGGGAAAAAATAGAACCAGAGCTATGGAAGGGGCTCCCTCTTTCCTCCCCTTGGTTGTGGGGCAGTTGAACGATTTCAAGTGTTGTTAGATTTTAGATAGTGGTGTTATCATGAACATCTTTCAAAATTATATGTGCACTTTTAACAGTTTATATGAATCAACAGAAATCAAAGTAGGATGTAAAGTGCTATAGATTGCTTTTCCTTTAAACTAGCTTTAAATTTCTCTCTCTCTCTCTCTCTCTCTCTCTCTCTCTCTCTCTCTATCTCTATCTCTATCTCTATCTCTATCTCTTCCTCTCTATCTCTAACACAATTTTCAAAAAAATTGTCTGGCTAAATTAGTCTTTTAAGTTGATTAAGTTCATAGTTAAAACCCAAAGTGCCCAACTTCCCCATATCAAAAGCTTAAAGTTCAAGACATCTAACTTATTACTTCTAATGTTATATTAGTAAATCAGTACTGAGTTATTGTTTTTTATACCTTTACATCTGCTTTTTGTGAACTTTTACTTGTTTTGTTTTGCTTCATATTAGAATAAAAAAGTCATGTGTAATATAACTTTTCTCTTGAATTTCTACCTCTTTTTGAACCTTTTCCTAGGTAGATCCTGGAGATTAATTTCTTATTTATTTTTTATGTTTTTAATCCTCACCCAAGGGTATGTTTATTATTGATTTTAGAGAGAGAGGAAAAGAGAGAGAGAAAGAGCATCAATGTGAGAGAAACATCTATTGGTCGCTTCCTGTATGTGCCCTGACTGGGGATTGAACTTGCAACCTTTTTGGTGTATGGGATGATGCTCCAACCAACTGAGCCACCTGGCCAGGGAGATTAATTTCTTAGAGTAACTTTGTAAAATTTTTTTAACTTATATCTTCATATCACAGTTATAATATGAACCCTTTATGAAATTTTGATTTTTATATTGTCATTTTTATTGCCTGCTGATTTAATTTTCCTCTCTGGTTAGTATTGCTGGTCCATTCGTCTGTTTTCTATTTGCATTCAGGCTTCTGACTCTCGTTGATTTCTGTACATATGGAACTTAGATTATTTTAGGCTCTCTGAAGTCTTGAAATACAATTGACCCTTGAACAATATGAGTTTGAACTGTGCAGGTCCATGTATATGTGCATCTTTTTTCAGTAAATACAGTGGCCCTTTGTACCCATCAGTTTCGTATTCATGGATTTAACGAACTGTGAATCAAAAACAGTATTTTTAAAATTCCCAAACATGGATCAAAAATATTGGGCTCCACAAAATGGGTGCTCAGAAAAGGGTGTCAGGAATTAAGGGCAGTGTTGACTTTAACATAATCATATTTATGGCAATTTAAATAATTCTAAGGAGAGTTGCTCTTTTTTGTGTATTTTTCTTTCAGGGTTATTTTGGAGCCGTTGGAGCACTCCTTGAGCTGTTGAAGATCCCCTGATCATTACCTGGGGTGGGGTTCCTGGAACCTTCCACAATAGGATCTGTGAACTTTTGTTTTTTTAAGAGACTGACTTAATTTTATGATTGTTTTACCTGAATCAAAGCAAGAAAGGACAAGTGGATTTTTCTAAGTCATCAAGACAAACCCTTAAAAATTCAGCCTAAACTAGTAACCAGTAAGGAATGACATATATGTATATGTGTATATATATATAAAGTGGACCATGTCCATGGCAGTGAGGATTGGCTATAATACCTGCTATATATTTTTGAAACTCAGTGTCACTCACTGGAGCCACTTCAGGGGAGAGCTATTCTGTGTTCAGTATACTGTGTTTTGGGATCCTGTTGAACTTGCTAAATGTAAGGAAAGCTATACTATGTGTTATATAATCTAATCACAGTTTTGACAGTATGGCCTTGGAGATCACCTCCTGTGCATTAACTCCGGTGAGCACTTAGCCTTTGTGTGAACATATTGAAAAATGTTTTATTTCAAGGTTCTGCAAACTTAATTGGGCAGGTTAGTTCAATACCTGTAACTTGAACAATTCAGCAACTTTTAGGACAATTGCAGGTTACTTTATACCATAAATCCTAGGGAGGTCTCTCTGGAAAGACAGGATTTCCTCCGTGAACAGAATTACCTTGAGTATTGGGCTGATGAAAGTAAGCTACTACAAAAGACATAATCTGGAAAACTAAAACCAGATAAAAGGGGCTGCTTTTTTTTTTCTTCCCCAGGGAACTGGGGAGAGAATCTGGTTACACTTTTAAGCAAGTAGAAATCAAGGAATTGAGGTGTCCATTAATTTATGGGGAGCAGGGCGGGGTTCTTCCCACCTTTCTCACCCACTCCTGGTCTTGGCACTTGGCAGCCCCCAGGCGCAGCCCTGATTTCTCTGGTAGGCTGGCTCAAAAGGCAGCTTGAGAGACAGGTTTTGAGCTGAGTATTAATATAGATTGACTTTGGACCTTTTCTTTCTGCTGTGCAGAATAATTTTTAAAAACCTTTCCCTTAGAGATTGAGCTATGTTTGTGTCTTATTTTGTGTCTTACTTGGTGCCTGCATCGCTGTTGAAGGCAATGAAGGTTTGTATAACGTGGTTTTTGAACTAGAAAGAAACTCCAAGGCTCTGAGGCCGCCTTGCGCTTTCGCCCCTGTGGTCTCAGGCCAGGAGGCCGGCCTGGGAGGGTTCTGGGAAAAAGGAGGGGTGCAGAGGGCGGGGCCGGGTCGTTCAGGTAGGAGGTGCTTGGGCTGGTGCTCCTCCCTGGTCGGCTGGGATCCTTAGGCCGCCTGTGTTGGCCGCGTGGGGGCAGCAGAGGCCCGTGCCCAAGTTTGTGAGGGCATGGTCATTTCTCCGAAGGTGGCCACTTTTGCGCACGGTTCTGGTACCCGTGGGTTGAGGGTGCTGCTCCCTGATGCAGACCGCTGCTCCCTGATGCAGGCCGCAGAGCTGGAGGGACACTGCGGGAGATGGAAATTGTAGCCCTTGGGTAGCATTAGGGTCTCCCTGCTGCTGCCCCTTCCTGGCCTCAGCCTGAGCCCTCACCCCTCACCCCCTATCCTGTCCTTTGTTCTCTGTCTCTTGCAGATACGCACTTGGTGGCTCCACCTTTCCCTCACAGCCACCACCGACAGAGCTAGTACTCTTCCGCTGGAACATAGTCGTGTTTCTCGAGCCCCTCTTGTCCCAGTCCGGCTCTGCTTACTTGGGCGGAGAAGGTAGAGAAGGGGAGGGAGCCCGAGCCATTTCTAGCGGAGACCCAGGCCCCACCTCCTGTGTTGTGGGTCCCGCCTGTGTTTTAGAGGCTGTGCCAGTGCTTTACATGGGTTGTTTCATGCAGCTGTTGTGATCTCCACAACTCGGCAAACCCGCCTGAGCTCACACAGAGTCCCCTCTCCTTTCTGCATTTGCCTTCTACCTCCGAGGGCCCAGTTGCCACTCACTTTGTGGGTGGTTCTTAGCTCACACTGTCACTCCATGAGAGGGTCTTGATAGGTCCACTGAGTCCCCTTACTAAATCTAACAGACATTTATGTCCTCACTTTCCTCAGTTCTAACACAGTGGATCTCTTGCTTTTCCTTCTGCCTTCCAGACCCCTTTCTCTCTGCCAGCTTGAGAGCAACAATTTGACATTGCCAGCTCCAGGCACAGTCCTGATTCCCCTAAGCAGTCATCAGCACTCACCTTGACTCTGACTTCCAAGGTACTATGCCCAGCACCTCCTCTGAGCTCCAGTCCTAAGGCAGTGACTGCCTTCCCTTCTTTCTACTTGTCTATCTCCAAGGCCATCCCTACACAGAAGTATCCACATCCTTTCCCCTTCACCCCCCCCCCCATCTTCTTCACTCCCTCCAGCTTGAGATGCATGTAAACTCAATCTCCATTCACCATTGCCACCACCCTAGTTTAAACCACTGCCATCTTATCTCAGCAGTTGTCCTTTGCAATCTGCCCTCCAGATGGTAGCCTGAGGGCCCCACCCCACGCTCCCCACTAGAGGCCAACACGAAAATGGGAGCAGAAGATGGCCCAGTGGGGACAGGTGGATGGTTAGAGGGTTGAGTATTGGGATGTGGTGATAGGATATGGGGGAGGAAGTTTCTATAAGGGCATAAGCTTATTGGGGAGGCTTGGTTTTGAGCTGTAATTGATACCAAATAGCAACTGGATATTTGGGTTGTAGATAACATACCTAAGAATGATGGTGTATGTAGGTGGGCAAACTGTAGGTGGGAATTTAGTGAATACCAAGGTACAGTGAGAATAACAACAGTTGATGGGCAGAGAAGGGAAAGGCTGCGAAGAAAACTGAAGCGAGGTCAGAGGGGGCTGCTAGGGGTCTGTTGTTCAGGAGACAGGGGAGAGGAGCCCTCCAGACACCTGCATTGAGGGTTAAGAGGAGGCCCAGAGATAACCTCCAGGGGAACAGTTTCCCCAAAGCTATGGGGCAGAAGCTGTTCGATCTGTGGAAGTCCTAGCGAGGGTTGGTGAGGAGAAATAGCTACCACAGGGTGACTTTGGACAGAGAGGTTTTTTTCCTTCCTAATAGAAGTTTATTTGCAGGTCTGGGTGTAGTGAGAGGTGTGAGGAATGGCCTAGTTCTGACACTCCCCTGAGACTAGTGCCTGTATTTTGGAAACTACCTGTGTCCAGTCGCATCTGCAAAGCTGAGGCCAGTGGCAGGTGAGGCCTCGGCTTCTCTGCTTTCTCCCTCACTGCGGCCTAGTGCTTTACTCGTCACCTCTGACCTTCACTCCACACGTGGGGGGACAGGCCAGGAGCTCCTTCATCACAGTCACCTGTTGCTGTGCCCTACTCACCTTGACTTTCCCACTCTTGCTACACAAGCTTACGTGGGGCGTGAGTGTCCACCAGTGGGTACATGATTAACATTAAGTAGTTTTCAAAATCTGCTCTTTATTTACATTTAAGTCAATTACATGCATGTTTTATTTTTTAAATGAGTAATTAGCAAAAAAATGCATTAAAACTTTAAAATAGCAATTAAATATACAAAAATATAGCTTACAAAAAACTGCGAATGTTTAAAAATATTCTGCTGCAGAATTCTTAGTGTACAAACACGTCTATGAAACCTGAGGCTCAGCATTTCATAAACCTTTTATTGAGGGAGTTACATTATGTCTAGTGAATGAACCCCAGTGGGCTAGACTACATGGCTAAACTACCTTCCTTCCTGGCAGTGATCTGTTACCAGAGACGACAATGATCAGGAACACTATCTTGGAAGACGGTGTCACCAGGAGGGACTTCAACACTGGTCCCATCTGCCTCCTTTTTCTCTCGGAACCTGCGAGGGAAGGAGCAGACAGGGACGGTGTGCAGCTGGCCCAAGGTGCTGATCCACCAGGCTTGTACTGGCACAGGAGCTACATCAAAGTACAGACAAGTCCCTTAATATTGGCAGGCTCCCTTTCTGAGTACATGCCCCTAGGGCAGGCAGGGTGTTCTTGTCCCTGTAGCCATAGAAGTGAGCCCTGGATTGGTAAGCAAAGAATGCTCATGTTTGGTCTAAAACGGAGAAAACAGTATCTTGGAACAAGTGGGCTCTAAAACAACTGGAAAACTGACCAAGCCTTTCTGTGTTCCTCTTGATACTCTCAAATGGAAGCACATTAATCTTACCTACTAAAGAACCATGATCCAGCATATTCGGAAATTTCACCTAAATTTATACACTGTTAATTTATGCATGTCCTTTACTCACGTTCTTAACAGCTAACGTGAAAGACTAACCCAGGGCCAGAGATTCATCACATGACAGAAGGGTGGAGGTTCCCTGCAATTCCTTTTCAAGTTTCAGGTCAGGGGCGCAAAAGCACTGAATCCTGGGGAAACTCGGTGGCAGGACACTGGGAGGTGGGTGAGGACCAAGAGGCTCCAGTCCGTGACCCCATGGCTACCTAAAGGAAGCTTTAATTTCCATATCCTCTAGGGGCAAAAGTGAACTTAAAAATATTTAAAAGGTGGGGAATGTCATTGAGTGAAAAGTGTTGGGCTAGGAAAAAACTAGGGGAAGTATTTTTTAGAGTGGGGAGGGAAAAGGAGCCTGACCTATGTACTTGAACATCTATGATTGATTTTAAGATTGACCACCTACTTGTTTAGCAACATTTGAGACAACTGCCTCACAAGATAGAAAGGTGCCTCAGCCTTCAGTTGCTGCTGCTGCTTGAATTCCTGCCTCAAAAATGGGTGCTCGCCTAAGAAAGCAAGAGAGTTGTTAAGAGACATCACTGCTGCACTCAGGCTTCCCTTGCAACTAGCCAAGATGGTGTGGGGCAGCTTGTCCAGGTGGCTGCAAAATTGCTGGGCCTGCACTGCTGCTCTTGGCTACAGAGCCTGCTCTTGTGTGCCCTGTCACAGATCAGCAAGTCTAGAAACTGGTTGTGCTCCCGTCATCTGGACATGGGTGGTAGGAGTCAGGGAGGGACTGCAGTTTCTGATTTGTTTAGAAAACTAGAATCCCAGTGTGCTGCAATCAATAATAAAAAAGCCATTTTCAGAAGGAATGTGATTGTAAAAGGATCATCCCCCATTCTGGGCTCACCTTTTACAGATTTCTGACTTCTGGTACAGCTCTTTCCATATGAATAGGAATGCTCCTGAATGTACTTCAGTATCACAAGAGCAAAGGAGAACACCCTCCCCCCCCTCCGCGCACACATATATACATATACATGTGTGCATTTGTATATACATAAATGACCTCTGGGAGGATACATAAGGAGCAAAACTAGATGCTCAAGGGGTCAGAAGCTCGGCTTGCTGGAGGTCAGGGGTACAAGGAAGACTGATTTATGAACCATGGCAAGGGATTACCTATTCAGAGTTAAATTTAAAAAGATTCAGTGAGCAACCAATAAGTGAGCACTGTGCAAAGGCAGATGGAGGTGAGGGGAAGAGGAAGGGAGCCAGCAGACCTGGGACAACAGGAGCCCCACATGACCTGCATGACAAACGCTGCCCATTATCAGCTCCCATGACTCAGATCTGTCACCTGCCAGGCTCTGGACACAGCTAATCCTTGCAAGGGCCAGTAGACAGATACCAGTCTAGTCCCTGGGTGATGGATAAGATAACTGACAGAAAGGCACCTGGCTGGTGAGTAACAAAGATGCTTCAAATCAGTCTGATCACTTTCTGTCCAGAGCTCTGGGGATGCCTCCCAGTAATTTCTACAGTCATTAAGAATAACTTAACAGAGTGGGATGAGGCCATGGAGATGACAGACTTTGGAGTCGGGCTGTGGAAAGGGCCTGAGGTTAGGATCCAAGGGGCTTGGCACTGGGAAAAGCCTCATTTGTCAAGACATGAAGAACTGGCTATATGACAATGGTGGGAGGTCCCTGGTATCCCTCAGCCCCGATGCCCTCACCCCTGGGCCACCTGTTCCAGTCTGGTCATTTGTCTTGTCCTGCTCCCTTCCAGGAATAGGCCTAACCAAGTCACAGTCTCAAATATAACCAAGAACCAAGTCCGGCTGGTTTTGTTTCATTTCTAAAACCAGGTCAACTCCGGCTGAGTTCTATTCCACTAACCCATGGCACACAAGGAACGTCCAATCTTGGAGCTGCTTAAGATGTGTTAAAAAAAAAAGTCATGTTATTAGCCAGTGGCCCAAAAGCAGATCAGAGTCCCCACGTGTCTTAAGATTAGCAAAAGGTCACCTCCTCAGACAAATGTGGACAGCAGCCTCACTGTGAGGTGTGAGCCTGAGCCGAATGTGTTGAGGGATCCTTGCCTCATTCTTTAACAAAAGTCCAGGTGGAATTGACCCGTCACACAGTGCTGACTAACTGCTGCTAGCTCTGTACAGTACAGGGAAGTGCTGGAGGAGGGCCCAAATGTGGGTGGCAAATGCATTCAGGTTGTGTTGCTAACTGCTGAGTGACAATGGCTGTGCTGCAAAAGGACACCCCACCAAGAAAGGGGAGATGACTGAGCAGAGCGGGCACTCAGCACTTCAATGCCCAGCCTCCTCGGAGTGGAAATGCTGCATTTTAAAAAGCCTCCCCACATTCACAAGTGTTGAGGTCATTAGTGGCACCTCCTGGGGCAAAGCAGACCCACTATGGTGCCAAGTGGAGAGGGCACAGCCTTCTCATGCTTTCCTCTAAACTGTCTGGCTTTGCACCTCTGGTCCAGTGCATACCAACGACCTCTGCTTTTAGCTGTGACAGTGAAATGAATGAATGCGCCTCCCTATAAACACAGGGACTTGGTGATGCTGCCTGACACGGACAGAAAAAGGCTGCCACTGGAAGGCTATTGTAATCCTACAGGACTGAGTGGAAGAAATCTGCAGTATAGAGCACAAGCATTCCTCTGAGGGGAAAAATTCTCTTATTCGAAGCCCATAATGACAAGATGACATTTGTCTCAACGCCATTCCAGGGAAAATGATGGGCTGGTGGTCATTAACTAGTCCAGAAGCAAGCCTACTTGGTCACTAACAATATTTCACTATAAACCGGGTGCTTTGCAGCATTCAACTCTATTATGCTACAGAGAACGCAGAAACGGGGTGAAAGTCCAAGTGTACAAATAGTTCTTTTCTTGGGTGCCAAACAGGCTAAGGCTTTCATATAAAAATATTCCACACTTTACTTGCCCTGTTTAAGAAACAGTCCAGTTGGCATACCATAGGAATACCATACACTAGGTCACACGGAAACAGCCAACTCTGACCAAGTAGACTTGTAATTTTCCAAACTGGATTCTGCCCAGCACTTTCCTAGGCTAACAGGAATTTTCCTCATCCTTTGACTGTAGCTACCTGAGCCACGGACAGGTTCCCTTTCCCATTCTAAGACGGTAGAGGCTGGATTCCAGAAAAAGTTCTTGGATAAGTGCCATCATCAGAATTGCAGAGCTTCCTCCATCTCTCCATACCATGCAGAAAGCATTTCCAGTGAGAAACCACCCCCCTCACACCTGTGAGGGAGCAGAGGCAAAGCTGATGACAAGGAACCCATCCCTAGAATGGAAGGAGATTGAGAACAGGGCTGTGGAAAAGAACTACAAAGTTCTTAGCTAATTTATACAATATTCATGAATCTAAAGGACTCTGAGTCACTTCTAGAAAAGTTGGACAGAAAGAGCCAAAGAGTAACATGCATTTCTCTCC